GTTTTTTCTTCTTTATGCAGAAACACAATTAAGATCTTTAGAAACACTTCTGCAGGTGCACAGCTGATGATGCTCAGAATTGTCAGTTTTTTTGAGAAGGTGTTTTCACTTCTTAAAAAGAACACCACCTCCGCCCACAATGGGCCAGATGACCTCCCCTTGTTTGTAATCATTCTGATGCACCTGCCTTCTTGTGTTCTGTGTGTTCACATGTGCCTGCCTTCCTGTGTTTTTGTGTTGATGTTGACGTAATCTTATGTTCTTTGTCTTATGTTCCTGCACTCTTCCATTCTTATGTTCCTACGTTTTGGGGGCTTTTGTGACACAGCTTTAAATGTACTGTCAAACATTAGGGAGAGGAGGAAAGCTGGACCTTACAACCCCCAGAAGCACTGAAAAACAAGCAAGAATGTGATTTCCCACAGTAAAGCATGTCAACACCTTTCCGTCAACACAAAGAAGCCCTCTGAAGTGTTTCCAAACTGATTCCTTATGTGATACCAGTAACAGTGTCATGATTTGCAAGGAAGCAGACATTCAACTAATTTCTTTGTGTATTTATTTATTGATTGCACTGGGTTGAGGGATGTGACTGCCTGTGGCTTTCGTATTTGACAGAGAAATACTGTTAGGAAGCATTGGTTAATTTGTTTCCTTATTTTCCTGAGAGAGTTTTCATTTCCCAGGAGATTGCTGGAGCTGTCAGTCTGCTGAGCTGCCCTGGCAGTGTTGGGAGTTTGCAAACCCACACAGCTGTGGTGTTAGGAGAGACAGAAGAGAGCACTGCTGCAGGCAGCTAGGTGGACAAAGATTTCATTTACTTGGATAACTTTGCTATATCTTCCCAGAAACCTGCTATCCGTAACTGCCCAGTTCCAGACAGCTCCCAACAATGGGCCTACAGTAGATCTAGAGAACATGGCCAAGACTTTAGCATGTTTTTGACAGTAATTTGAAGCACTAACAATTACAGAGCCAGATTATCCCTACTTTCTCCTTATGAGCAGTGTGTTGTGAATTGCAGTTGAACTGCTAAAATTGCAGTTTAGCCAAATTGCTAAATCTGGTACGATATAGCTTCTCTAGCCCAGGTGCCACGCATGATTGCAAGTGCATACAAACCAAACTAAAACAGGGACCTGGAACTAAGAACATTAGTGTTGTGGCTTCACCAAGGCAATAGGGTGGGGACTTACAAAACATAAAGCAATTAAACTGTCTGACAGAATTTACTGTAGGACCTGCAAAGTATGTGGATAGCATACACATTAAACCAGGAAACAATATGCATCCAAGTTTTTCATTGTTGAAGCCATTGAGACGCTGTTATGTTTGTTCAGCTATTATTCCTAAGAAAGGTGCTTTCCTACAGCTCCCTACCTAATATAAGCTGGACAATGCTGATACAGGGTCAGTCATGACCAATCCCATCAGTCTTCAGCAAAATCTTTAGAACCTTCAGGTTTCCTCTTTGGGTGAATTGCAGGCTGTCATGATTTTCATATAGTTTATATTGTCTTTGTGACAGTTACTCCTCCTATTCTCTGAGCAAGGAGCAGTTATGATTTTGTATGTAAATCTCATCCACAACTCGCTTTAGGAGGAAAGGAAAAGGGTATAAATATAAAACCTGGGATATAAAGAACTGTCGTCACTCTGTGGACATAAAAACAGATTATATTTGTCATGCAGAGAGTTCCCATAGCTAACCTAAAAATACTTCTGCACTGTTTGTTTTCAAAACACAGATTCCCTGGAGGAAGGTACTCCAAGTGTATGTAGAGATCATACATAAACTTCCCACCCAAAAAACACCCCACCAGAAATAACATTTCATTTAATAATTAACATTTCTATTTAATAAATAGTTCATTTAATAATTAGAGATTTCATTTGAGCAAAACCTCTGATAGTCTCCTTCAATATCACTTTCAGCGTTACTGATGCCATGATTCATAGAAAACACAAAGGAATGTTCTAATGCTGTGTGATACACCTTCTTGCCCATTGCAAATAGATATATATGTATGTATTAATTTGTTTCTAACAGCAGCTAAGTTCATTTGTGCCAACTCACTAAGGACATGACTGTATATGTGGTCCTGCTGGACTGGAGGCAAGACAGCGTTCATCTGTCTGTCTCATTTGTCAGTCCGCAACTAGGAGAAGGCAGGCGTCCTCACTGACGTAGCTCTTTCAGAAGAAGCAAAGCCAAAGACATTTTGTACAAGAAGGGAGCAAAGATGTTCTAGATCAGGGTGCGCATTTTTTTTCTTTCAGTCAAAAGGAGTGGATGACAGGCAGCCCAGCATCCTGGGAAGCCCCAGACACACCCCAATAATCAAGCTGTGGAAAGAGTTACAAATACCTCCACCCCCCCTCGTCCCTGTCTCCGATAACCCCAGAGGCTGCTGCCTTGGTGGAGGAGTTGGGGGTGTAGGTATGGCCTGTTGATGGGGTGCTGGGGGACACAAAGGCTAGGGGAAAGAGTGGTCCAGAGGCCCATATTTATACTTTAGAGCCAGTGATTGGAGGAAACGTTTCCTCCGAAACAATGACTTTTCCTTTGTTCAAGGTTTCGTTGTGATTCCATTGAGAAAAATAACCTTCTGGCTATAACAGCAGATCAGAACAAGCAGTAAAGCATGCTAAGAGAAAGAAATAGAACCATAACAGGTATTTTATTTCCTTTCTGACACAGCTGCCTCTCTGACCATGCCTCTACTTGCATGGATACCTCTGTATGTGTGAGAACAATTGTGCATACTGCACACTATGAGTAGTTCAGAGAGCATTCTCTCCGGGAAATACAGAAGAGGTGAAAACTGTCAGTGTCTGTGGCTCCTAGCACCTCATACTAAACAAGAGTTTGTGCCCAGTTCTGTTTTTGAATTTGGCTAGTCAGTTCTGTGATCCATTACAATTAAAAAACGTAAAGACAAGCAGCTGATGTTTTATAGCAGCCTACTGAATAAACAAGAAACCTTTGATGAGTAACAGAAAATCAGGGTCACTATGTTTGTGACTGACTGCATACTCAGTCATAAATCATAAATACACAACTCTCTTGCCTGGGTGAATGGTGCAGAACTCGAATTAAAATGTAGGTGAATGCAAGACACACTTCCTCTGAGCACACTACAACACGCAGGAACCCATAAAACAAAAACGCACAAGTCACCTGCCTTTGTGCTGAATAAGGATCTGTTGTGTTGCTCTAAAACGCAAACACTTACTTTCTGGGACCAGCAGTAACACTGATAATATTTGGACAGTTGACATTCTATTAATAGCTTGGAGGCCTTCCCGTGCAGTGTTGCAATTTTCCTGTTTAGCTCTATCACTCACTTAATAGCAAACCTAAGTAAACCATCGCAAACAGAGAGAGACTTTAAAATTAAACAGTCCTCTGGGAAAAAGCTGCTTATGGTCTAAAGGGTAAATAAAGAAATAGGCTGTGCATATTGTATTGCGTCATCAAGGAAAATCTATAGAAACTGCCAGAGGACTTTTTTTTTTTCGCTGCTGTGTTTTAGAGCATGATGCCCTCAGTGTTTGGCCAGAGTTCAGCCGACAGCTCCAGGTCAACTTCTTCAGCAAGCCTGTCTGAGGTTTATAGAGATGTGGGCCATAGGGACATACAACAGATAATACAGAGGAACAAGCAGGGTTTCTAAAACATTTTTAGTGACAGA